AATGGTCAGATGCTGCATCGAGTTCCACGCCTGCAATTGCCACTTAAATGACCGTTTACCTGGTGGCCAGTCCTTCAGTTTGAGCAGCATGGGATTCCCTCTGTCGTCCTTCAGGCGACGAGAGAACTGTTCGAATCCTTCCCAGAACTTCCTCATTGGCTGATTTGGCACCAAGTTTCCCGTCATGCAGTTGATCAAGTCGTTCTTGTCCTCGCCAAAATCGCGGGCAAACGAATCCGGATGCCAGAGGCTCATGTCCAAGTGTTTCGTCACGTCCGATACTATCACAGGTTGGCCGCGTTTCCACTGATCCTGCGCACAAATTTTCAGCGCACACTAAAATCAAACACGCTGAACCACTGATCAAACCTTTAATTCGACGACTTGATATATATATCTCGTAAAAAAATAAATTACGTCAAGCGATTCTTACCTGGAATATGCGATAATTTCCGTCGCAATTTGGATCCGTCAGTCTCAGCAGTTTGCCGTCACACAGCCACGAATGAGGAACATCTGGATAGAGAATCTTGCTCTCTGTGAGAGTCATGATGCGGATGGGCAGCGGCTCCCGGCCCTTTTGGGCCCAGTTATAACGCCGCACAAAATGCTTCAGTTCCACGGGAGGCTTCCCTTCCGCCGAGGCGGAGTTGCCGTGATCTTCCTTCTGAACGCTGTGCTCAATAACGCTTGAAATGACCTCGTCGAGCGTGTCCAGTCTCGATTTCTTCGAGCCCTTGGCCGCGGTCACCGAACAACTCGCGTTTGGAGACGCTCCGTTGTTGCCGGCGCTGTTGTTACAACTGCTGTTTGTATTGTTGTTAACACTGCCGCTGTTAAGGCCACCAGATGACGAAGTAGTCAAATTGCTGGCTGGAGAGGCCTGCCACTGCCGTTGGGTTTGTGAGAAGGACGGATCAATAGCTCCCTTAGCGTCGAATAGTTTCCGTCCTTATCTTCATCCGAGTCGCTGCTGCTGCCACCAGAGTCCTTTAAGAATCACGTACACAGATCGTCAAAATGTATTTATAAAGTAAAGGCGTCTTATATGGAAAACAGGTTTACTTGGGGGGGGGGGCACTACAGTAGTGAACCGGCATGGCCAGTTTTGCTCTCTCTTCGCGATTATTAATGGAATGGAATTTCAATAGTTTTGTGCTGCGAGAGCATTCACAAGCTGGTTTGTGTCTGGCCACAATACTGGAAGAGTCTACGTGTTGCGTGAACATTTAAACCCGCAACTCTTACACAATCGACGTCACGCCAGTCAGAGATAATCCCACAAAATCACGTTAACTAACCAGCGTCATACAAAGAGGAAGCACTCGTCGAGTCCCTGCACTCCGACGTGACGGAAATACGTCAAAACACCTGAGAACATCTAAACCTCTGATATATAAAAAATAAATATTTGGCACGGATTTCGTATCTCGGAAAACTGTCCTCGACGCTAATAAGTGCATATTAAGAGACGTATCTTCGCTGGGGCCGCAACATTCCTATGCGAAAGCCAAATTACCGGAGGACACAAAAGTGCTGCTACATCAACGCTTCCTCCCCCCGTCCGTTTCGGCCGACCCTACAAGGTTTCTTGATCTGTTCAATTACCTCGCATGGTTTTTTGTCCTCATTTGACAGAGCAACATCGGCCAACCAGTTAAGGGGGGAATTCTGGTCTTCCTGCTTCACGATAGCTCCGTTCGCTGCCCCGTTCTTCTTCTCCTTGTCCGAACCCTCAGTATCCTTCTCTTTCTTTTCCTGCTTGATTATGCCATTCAACGGTTCATTCTTGAAGATTTTCAACAAATCCTGACCAAAACACAAAAAAAAAATCAAAATCTTAATTAAACATAATAAACATACGATCACCTTCTAGCATCAGTTCAGCGAGTCTTTACACAAAATAGAGATTGGGAGTCGGAAGAGAATTTTACTGTGTTCGAAAGAAACCTTGTAAGGCGGGCTCAAAATATGGACAGAAGTGAACAACAGCCTTTTCAACCAAGTGATTAACAACTCTCAAACACAGCAAGGTGAAGTATGAACGGAAGAAAATGGAAGTCCGACAATAAATTGTACACGTCGGTATGTGGAGAATGTGTTTCTTAACAGTTGGCAGCGCACAGTATAGATCAGCTGCGTAAGAGACATCGAAACAGAGTAAAAATCACGTTAATGTTCGGCAAACAAAATAAGACGAATGTGATATTCCTATAAGTCACACTTTGAGGCAACACGTGCACGAAGATCATCCTCATTCAGGCACAGGAGATCTACTAAAATTTATCTTAATTTCCATCCAAAACAGAGGCAGCCGCTGTTACACGAGAAAATAAACGAAGATATCGTTAACCGAGAACATGCGCAATCTACTTGAAAGGAGACTTTAACGAACAAACTGCAACGAGATTTTTCAACAGGCATCACTTGCCGATGTACAGCACTAACAAAAAGTTAAGTCAGCGCACATTCGACGTCAGAATCTGCGAGGCGATTTTTCTGAACACAGAACGAGAGACGAGTCAGTAAGAACATCTACAGGGCACTGAACATTCAATCCAAAATAACCAACATGGCTGTTAATTATTTACTAAATTACCTTGCAGAAGCCATTTGTCGACTTGTGTGGGACCTCTTTGCTCATAAGACAACCGCAGTACTGGGGAATGCAACACAGGGCTCGTACGTCATGAACCTTCCTTCCCAGCTGAAGAAGCGAATCTCCGGCAATTATCTGCGTCAACATTAACTTTTCCTGTTCGTGGGCCTGTCTGTTAGTGCAGAGGAGCCACGAAAATTCATCTCGGTCCTTCCCGGCCTCGCCCCAGATCTTGATCGAGCCGTTCTTTCGGCCCTGGAACGAGAGGAAGATTCTGATGTTTCCGATAAAAGAGACAAAAGTGCGTAGCTGACACTAACACAATCTAAAACACTACAGTGCGTGTTAGTAAGAACGCTTTCATTAACGATACACACACACAGACTCGTTATTTTGCCATGCGTCAGACGGGTAAAAAGCTTTTTCAAACATCAAGTGCGGTCAGTTCGCATTCTCATCATATGCAGGCTTGCTAGTTCTTACGAGTGCGGGTCCGTTAGTTCACATTCGAGACGTGACAGAAAACTTTTTCACGCATCAAGTTCAAGTCATCGTACGACAATCCAGTAATTCAGTTTCACGTATCACACACCAGATTACAAAAAGTAGAAAACTCCGGATCGTCCCCAACAAATGAAAATACGCAGCCAAATTTAGTCCAATTTGAACACGACCCCCAACAACGAACTCGGGGAAAACCAGGATCTGCGACATATTATGAAGCTCACGAGATTGGTCACCGGCTTCTCGCCGTGGTGCCCCACGTTCGAGCCCGGGCCAGTCCGGTGAGATCTTATGACGGACAGAAGTTTCCCTCCGAGTTTTTCGGCTTTTAAGAATGAATTAAATCGCAAGAAATCCAAATCAATTTTAAGTTTCCCTCCGAGTTTTTCGGCTTTTACGAATGAATTAAATCACAAAAAATCCAAATCAATTTTTGGTACGTTACAAATCAAACATTTAACAATCAAAGTGACAATGTTAAACAGCTTTGAACATGCAGTTCTCATCACAGAAATCAAATCGCAAAAACAAAGAAATGCGCCGTGAAACGCTCGTGCTGTGCAACAGTACGCTGAACGGAAAGAACTTACCTTGTAACAATCAATACAGACAACAAATCCACATTTGTTGCACGCCCAGTGGAAGTTGAAGAGGGTGGTCTCACATACGTCGCACATCTCCCGAACACCTTGAACCACCCTCTTCCAAGCAATGGTCTTTTCTGAAATTTGGGGGTAAAATAAATTATTAGACCACAGCAATCAAGGTCAATGATTAATTACAGCGACCTCGTTAAACCACGCAAAATACCTTCCGACATATGAACGGCGATGGATTCTTTTTCTTGTTCGAGTAAATCACAGAACTGGTCTCCTACTTGGGTTAAGAGAAATCTCGACATCTCGAGGTCTAGGTCGGCTGGCGGGTTATCGGGCAACGGGAGCCACAGCTTCAGATCTTCCTGTAACAAGAACACTCCTCAATGTCCTAAGAGTCTACGAACACCCAACGAGAAACAACACGAAAGAGGAGTTTAATCGCAGAGATACCAAATGTGAGAGAGCTACCTCCGCGGCGTCGTTGTGCGGGTCCGAGAACCCCGCGATGGCCAGCTGCCCGTTCTTTGTGTAGCGCAGGCGCCTGAAAGCGTAGAAGCGGCAGAAGATGTTAGGCATATTCTTGGAGCGCTGGTTGGGCGTCCAGCGGCACTCGCGACACTTGGCCAGTTTGGGCGCCACTTCGTGACACGGGCCATCCTGGAGGAAACTCTCGCCCGTCTTCTTCAGCTGGCTGACGGGAGGCTTGCGAAACGGGTCGCGCTGCGGAGCCGGGGGGTCGTCCCTGGACTTCTTCTGCCGCGGCTCCTCGCCTCGATCGTTTTTTGATGACTTGGGTCTGCGTCCTCGTTTCCGGGGTTCCTTGCTCCCTCCGCCGCTTCCGCCGGTGCTGCTTCCACCTCCGCCATTGGCAGACTTCTTTCCGCTGGTTCCGCTCTGGGTGGTACTTGCGCCACTGTCCGAATCCTTGTCACTCAGACTCTCCTTGTCACTGTCGCTACCACTCTCACTATGGACCGCCACGGGTGCCAGTTTCTTGCGCTTCTCCTCCGCGGCCTTCCTCGCGGCACCTCCGCCTTTCTTTCGCTTCACTTTGGGCGGTTTCCTCTTCGGAGGAGACTTATGTTCGGGGTCAGAACTCGATGAATCGTCAGGACGTGGATGTTTGGAAGATGGTATATCTGTCGCATGTCCATTTAATGTAACTCCATTTCCATCTTTATTACCCGCCGGCACGGGTCCTTTCCGATTACTTCCCTTGTTGGAACTGGACTTCGCTTTGCAAGACAACACGCTCTGAAGAGAGGACACACTGCTACCAACACTATGAACATTATCTTTACTTATTCCTGCACCAGACGAATTTGTACCCAGATTCAAAGGCAACGTCACACATGAGCCACTACCCACAATCCCAGTGGTGTCTTCGGTCCCATCTTCCCCCGAGTGCCTCTGGAGCCACGCTTTCTTGAGCTTATGCACGGGGTAACTACTGCTCGTCGCCGGTCGCGCAGGACCGGGGCTGTTGGACTTGTCTGAATCCAAATTGCTGGGTGGAGGCTGAGGTTTTGCTGGTGTGTGGGGGGGAGGGTTGGTTTGCTGCTGCGCACCTAGGCTGGGGCTGCCGGAACTCGCGGGCGGCACGAGCCGTACTGGGCCGTTGCTTTGCTGCCGAGACATCGCGCCCGGTCCCGTCGAGGGGTAAATCGATGTGACCGCCGGACTGCCGGGCCTCACAGAGCCGTCTCCTGACCCCGTTCTTGCCGGCACAGTTTTTGGACTCGTGGTGACTACCGTGCTCGCCGACAGAGGTTCGTGCGAGACGGATACCATCATGGTGGTCGCCGCAGGACTGCAATACGCAGCAGTGTTTACTACTGTAGTTATTGGAGTGGCAGCACTGGCAATAAGAGGGCTCGGTTCACTAACGCGAGACAGCAACGGTTGTGACAGTGCTCCCTGCGACATGACTTGTTGTGGCGGAAGGTTTTGTTGATCACAGCGCCTTCTCTTGCTCGGGTCCACAACGCCGGGACTGTGGTGCATCGGTATGCCTTTTCTTTTGGGAGAACCGACCAAGTCGTCTCTGCTACTTCCCCGATCCGACGACACCCCAAGATCCAGGGGTTGCGTCTGGAAAATCGAAGTCATACTAAGATGGTGCCCCGACGTCTGATGAGGAATCTGCAGTGGAGACGAGTGAGGATTAGGAAGGGGAGCCGCACTGGCCGAGGGGGGAGAAGAGCCCTGGTGCTGTGCCAGTGGCTTCACAGCGAGACCTGTGCCTCCGGGATACATTCGGTCAAACATTCCTCTGTGTTCTCCGACCATGCCGCTGCAGCTAACTCTGGAGTG